ATATATAATGGTTGAGGGGGGGGGGCCTGGAACGGCACACTTTTTATTATTATGGTAAGGTGCGGCTTGAGACTATGAATAGACTGCATAACAAATTACTGAGCCTTTATTATGGAGAGGTGCGGTTTGTGACTACGCCTAGCCTACATAACAAAATGCTGCAAATGAGACCGAGCCTCTGCCATGTAGATGGTAATAGACTACATAACAAATGACTGAGCCTTTATTATGGAGAGGTTCGGTTTGTGACTACGCCTAGCCTACATAACAAAAGTGTGAAAAAATGTGAAAAAAGAAGCTAAACCTGGTAAAACAAAACTGGCTGTCTATCAGTAACCTGTAATAGTTGTCTGTCAAATAAGATGGTCCAAATAAGTGTAGTTAAATCTTTTTTGCATGGTTAATCACATCTTTCCAATGATTACTCAGTTTGTAACCATCATCACGGTTGAAATTATGTCTGTGTTTGTATATTTGTATGGCTTCGTGTATAAACCTTTGATGGTAGCCAGGAGGTTTGTAGAGCACCTTGGTCTCAGAAAAGACAATTTCATGAGAGCCCACAGAGTTGTAGCAATGATCGGCAACGGCTGAAGAATCAGTTCTGCCGTGTTTCAGATCTGACTTGTGCTTACTTTTATTAATTTAAATTTTTTTTACCTACGTGACTTTACCGAAAAAACCTAAGAATATGAATCCTTGCAGTCACGAAAGCTTCAAATCTAGAATTATAGACTGATCATTTCTTTGTCAGTGGGCAAACGTACAAAATCAGCAGGGGATCAAATACTTTTTTCCCTCACTGTATGTTGACGATTACATGCAATGTGTTCACAATCATGAACGAATGAACTAATTATGGTTAAACTCCTTTTACCCATGCCCCGATAATCGGGGACAATGTTCCAATAATCTGCACCCGTAATTGATCCGTAGAAAATGCTGCTATCCATGGATCATCATGATCATCATCCATTTATCTTAATCATCGTTCAACTTACTGCATCTTCATCCCATCGACACGGCCTTCATTATCCATCACCATCATCATCCATCACCATCATTATCCAATTCCATCGTGTCATCGTCTTAAGTCATCATCTGCTAACAATTCAGAGGACAGGGTTTTAAATGATCATCTACAATTGGCTTTGAACAAGGGAAAGATGATATATAAGCAAATGGGGCATCAATAACCACTTCTTGTTTATTTTGCAAACATAATAAGGGGGTCGAGCGGCAAGCTCGTTTTGCTAAGCTATTTCACAGATAAGGAGTCAGGGTTAGTGCTTAGAGCGTGAATAATGGCTACATGAGGTGTGCACATGCACTTGTCATACCATCTGCTATACTTTACACACGTGTGATATAGAGGAGTACATATGAGTCTTTGTTAGGCATTATGTTCATGATTACTGGCAATTTTAACAATTATTTTTTTCACAAATTAGGCAACAGTAAAAATAAATATCTCCACAATGGTGTCAGTGTGAAAGAAATTCTCTGTAGTTTTCGAAAGTATTACTTATGTATGGTACGAGTCAATGTTTTGACATTAAATTAAACGAAATACACCACCACCAGCTTAAATCCAACACCGTGGTATATACAGCTATTTTACCCTAATTACGAAAGGATGAACAAACTGTTTCTGTACATTACAGTCCCAACTTGTTGACATACTACACCCAAGTAAAATGCCACTTTATGATTATAATCATGATTACCCACATGTTTAAAGTGTCTTCATTTATGTCCATAATCAGATAACTGCCCTGGCTGAAACCCAAAAGTTTAATTACCAGCCTCGTGGTTTGGTCCATGACGCTGCTGAAAGGCATTGACACCGACTCGGGTATGTGGCCTGAACAGCAGTCTGCAAGACAGGAAGAAACACAGATGTGACACGGGGTCAAATATAAATTCTTCATACACACATTATCTATTGGTATAATGTTAATATCAAACAGAAGCTCTTGGCTTCTAGTTGTGATGAGGATATTCAAATCGTAAAAACACTGAGATGGAATTTTTTTTATGTTATGCAGCAGAAAAAGCAGATGGGAATCTGACAGTTAAATAATGAGCCACACCACTGCAGAGCCACTTTACAACTTCCCCATCAACAACCTCACGCGCTTAACCTAAGACAGCTTTGAGCATAGTTCCTATCATGCTCAGGATTTCCATTAGCTGAGCCAGGGCCCAGCCATGGCCGAGCCACTCATGCATCTTTGGAAGCGACTGGGCGGCTCAACCCTGAATCGAGCTTTCGTTAGAAGACGAGCCAGAGCTGAGCCAGAACCGAGCCGTGACTGAGAATTTGGCCCTAAAGAGATTGTTGCCTGGATGTAGAAGAGATGCAGCGAAAAGTCGACTTGTCACGGTTCCGGACGGCAATTCAATTGAATCATTGTGCAACCTCGAGGTGAATCGCCGGGTATGGTGAATCCCTGGAAAATACAATACCATCCCTATTGAACGCGATGTAAAGTTTCCATTTTCAGCACTTTAAGAGATATAAGCAACATGTGAGATTCATCAATTAAAATTGAGCGTTGCAATTTCAATACACGACTCCACTGTATATGCATTGAATGACGTGTGTATCATTGCAAATTACATGCAAATTGTCATTCAAACTAAAAGAACGAGACAGAACATATGATTACACGAGGCTGCAACACATTTAGAGTTTTTAAAACATGCCAGTGTTGTGTGTCGTTGTTGCAACACAGGTGTTATCACAGCTAAATGTGTCAACCCCCTGGCAGGATTGATTCTATTTCACTTGATCACGGGATGAAACCTCCATAATCTGCCACTCTTATCTGCGAATCCCAGATAATCAATGGGGTCCAGGTTTGTGGTTCGTCCTTGTTAGACGCACATCTTCAAGGAATGGCAGATAGGTTGGGTAAACGGTAAAACGTCCGCTGAGATGACCCCAGTAAATAAATATAATGTACGCCAAGGACAAAGATCCTCCGTATAGCCTTTAACAGACTGTTGGGCCAAGTGCTGTTAGTGGGGGTGGGTGGCCAACACCACGCGCGACCGCCTTTGTCTCTCCAGTGGCGATGTTTACACACCGCGCCAGGTACTCATTCGAGGCTGAGTCGACCTAGGGGAGGAGGCCCATGACCGGTTCAGATAATCGTCACTGGTGTTGGCTGTGAGCGGGAATCGAACTCGGGTCGCCGGGTTCATAGCGCAGCGTAGCGCTAACCACTACACTACCGCTCCCAAACCACAACCGCCATTCGCCACTAAGTGACGGTGACGTTACCACGGCGCTTGTGCCAGGCTAGGTGCACGTTGAGGCCACGTGAACTGTCGAACGCCCGCTGGCAGGAGGTCACGGGGCAGACCCAGCAGGTGCCACGCGTCGACTGACTGAGATGACTGGCTGATGCACCACCTGTGCCCCCTACTGTGCCAACTTGCTGTGCTTTAGCCACCCGGCGCTCCGCTCGTTGTTGTGAGCGTCGCTCCTCCGCCCTCCGTTGTTGTTGGAGGGCGACTGCCTCCAACTGCTCAGCAGCGTCCTTCACGAGCCTCCTCCACTGAGGCCGATCTTGACACCGCTGGTACCAGTCATCGGCAAATCCACTCAGCTCCACGTCCTCCTGCACCACATCACTCCATCTCTTCTCCAGCCCGTGCCGCGCCCGTTTAGCCCCCTCGATCCGGCCGAACAAAGCTGCTTGGGCATGCGGTGGCTGGGCATGCGGGCTACGTGACCCAACACATTTGCTGACACACACATACGGGCCTCCTCCGTTCTCTCTCCACCTGCCTCACCTGGCCGTGGCTCGGGCTCCGTTCCCATGAGCCTGCCCTCAGACCTCGTCTCCACCCTCAGACCTCGTGTCCACCCACAGACCTCGTGTCCACCCACAGACCTCGTGTCCACCCTCAGACTTCGTGTCCACCAGGACCAAGTCCTCGCTCTCCGTGTGGGCTCGGATCTCCTCGGAAGCTTTTGAGCAGCACCAGCGCAAGCGACCGGGCTCTGGGTGGTCACAGCCAGGCCCTCACCACCACCACCTTAAATGTCCTCCTGCAAATTGTTATATCGCACCAACGTTGGTTCCACGTCCCGATTGTCCACCTGCCGACATCGGGGGCCTCGGGCTCGTGTCGTCGACCACGCCGTGCGGGCGGCGGGCGTGGAGTGCTCGAGGTGGCTTCCCCCTCCCCGTCGATGCCCTCATCCACGTGGAAGAGGACGACCCCTGGGAGCCGGGCGGACCTCGCAAAACTCCTGGCGGGCATCTCTGCCCGTGGCCGCCAAGTGCCACGTCGAGTCCAGCAGCACCACGGGGCCAAGCGGCGATGGCACCGCTGCGGCTGCTTGCTGCTGGTGGTGGTGATGTTGAGGAGGAGGGAGAGAGGCAGAGTCTCTGGGCTGGCGCTGCTGCCTATATGTCGCTGCTGGCTGGGGGTGCTGCTGGGAAGAGGGCGTGTGGCTTTGTTCCCTCGCATCCTGGAGCTCATCGGGTCGTGACGCTGGCAATGAAACGTGGGCGTTGTAACTCGTTATCTCTCCCCGTAGTTAATTATGTATTAATTAGGGGCTTAACCATTTCCAACTGAGGTTTCAACGCGTTTGCCATGTGCGTCCATGTGAATTATCTGCGGGGCACGCGGACAATTTCTAGGAAAGATGATCCCGGCGTGAATTCGAGTTTAAGGCCGTGCTGCTATTCTGAACCTTACCCTTGGAAGAACCCTGGCAAGTATGTGAAATTGTTACCCGGGGGCCAATTCTCATCCCGCAATAAAACCCAGATCACACAACGGGTCGCCCACTACGGGGGACGTCACGCCCTGGCTGGTGGCGGTGCGTGCCACGAACTTACCCCGCTCTCACCCGGAGTCCCCTGCCCCGGGAGGCGCGGGAACCTGGGCACTGAAAATAGGCAAGGCAGGACTGGTGCCTGGGGCTATAGGCCCCAACCCGCGTTAAAATGAATCGACGATGACACGTGTCGGAATCTCGTTGATACTTTAATGTGTTGATTTACCTATTTACAATTAACTTAACATTTTAGAATTTTGCGTCAGTTAAAATGTTTCGTTACTCGTTGAATTTAACATGTTGGAACCTTACATTTGTAATAAAAAATAAAGTATTTAGTTTTTTTAATGAATGCGTACAACCTGGCTGTGACATTGAGCTGTTGTTGATGAACACAAGGCGAGGGGCAGGTGCCAACAAGAGGCATGGAGAGACAAGAGGAGGAACGCCTGGAGATAGAGGACATAGGCTGACCACATTAATCAGAATCTTGATTTGAAGGCTACCGGGTGATCTTTGGTTTTTGTGGTGGCTGTAGTGGTGTTGGTGGTTGTACATTGCTAGTGGTGATGGTGCCCATGGTGGGCACAATCAGAATCTTTAGACTGCAGGAGGAATCCGATGAGCTATGAAGGTCTTTTTCACAGATGTCCAGTAGGAGCGGGTCAGCGGGTTACAACAAAAACCAATACAAAAAAACAATAGGAGTGCAAAATAGAGAGAACCGTAAGTGACTAAATATGAATAAAACATGTTTTAGTTGTACTGTTAAGTCCGATTGATCAAGCTTGGGCAAGGCAGCAAAACAGTCCCAGAGCAGCACACCAAGATAACGCCGCACAGTAATCACTCAATACTATGCCACATTAACTATCGATACACACACCTCTCAGCAACACGACCTTATATTTCATACATTTGGACCATGTTTACGAGAGTTATCGTGACCCATTGCTGCAGAGAGAGAGAGATCGTTGATCAGCAATGCTTTCAACCTTGCAAAAGTGCTGGAATACAGAGCGGTGTTATTAATCACGTGGAATAGAACAGCGTGAACATTCCAGCTGCATTGGGGCACTCGCTCCTACGATGTAAATGCGTGCTGCCACACGAGTCACACGTTTGGTCATTGTCATTCCACCCAGGAATATGATCGACTTTAGCAACAGGACAGAGTTTTATTTAATAGTTCAGGTTTAATGAACAGTGCCCGTAGTCCAGTCATAACTCACAGTAAGCACAAACAGGGACAAGTGTCTAGGGAGCAGTCGTGTAGTGGTTACCACTCACGGCCATCAACACCAGGATCAATGATCTGAACCGGTCCTGGGTCTCCCCTAGGTCGATTCGGCCTCAAATGAGTACTTGGTGTGGTGTGTAAACATCGCTACTAGAGAGACAAAGGCGGCCGGACGTGGTGCTGGCCACCCACCCCCTCGTGTGCTGAGCCGGCCTTCATAAGTGCTCGAGAACAGCACTACCCTTAAAAGTCGGTTAAGGCTTTATATAAGGGTGATCTTTGTTCATGTACAATATAACCTTTGCCCAAAATGAAATTAAAGTACTTTAAGCCAACTATAATGAAATACAGTGTAGTAATAAGGGGAGCTCTTGTGCAACTGTGGGTACGTGCTGTGGGCATATATCGATGTGGGTATTCATAGGATATAGAGTGAACAATATTTACAAAAATGTGTTAATCCACTTCTGGATGAAGGCTTCCTCAACCTGTCAGCATTAGGGGTTGTTTGACCATACCTCACGTTTTTGGGTTGATGAAAGGGAGGCCTAAGTACCGCTTCCCATATTGATCGCCACTGATGTTGGCCATGCTGAGATCCAACAGTGCGCGACCGCTCCATTCATATAAAGAAAAGTTATTTACAAATAATTAAAGCAGCACACTTTTTTAATCGCTCCGAATGTTCTTTAATCTCCTTTTTACGCCCAAAGCTCTTGTAGCATAAGTTAATGAGCAAACCCAGCCAGGGCTGCGTCGATCTCAGGAGCACTGCTATAGCGCCCTCTAGCGGCGTCACAGTCACGCTGCAGTCAGCTAACATCCCTCCATAGCCTCAACAGCAACCCCCAACCTGGTTATCTTAGCCTAGGTTATCTCAACGCAGGTTGTCACTGGCCTGCGTTTTCTTTAATACACAAATGAAGTGGTCATGGACGCAGCCTCGACAGAAAGTCGTGCACGATCGAGGGGCAACCATCGTTCAAAGGCAGCGCCTGTGAACGACCGATGGCCCAAACTCCTTGTACTCAAGCGCTGTTATCCACATCTGCTGGAAGGTAGAGAGGGATGCCAGGATCGAGCCGCCAATCCACACCGAGTACTTCCTCTCCGGTGGCGCAAAGATCCTGACAGGGGCTCCGCGTGGCGCTAACTTTGCCAGCTCTTGCCACAGTCTCTCGTCCAGCCCAGGGAAGAGGCTGGATCCCCCAGAGAGCAGGATATTGGAGTAGAGGCTCTTGCGTAGATCGATGTCGCTCCGGGTGACACTTTTCCAGACCAGCTGGTGGATTCCCGGTGTGTCCAGACCGACGATCGTGGGCGAGAAGAGAAGCTCGGGTGCCCGGAAGCGCTGGTTGTGAAGGGTAATGACTTGACCGTCCGGCAGCTTGTAGTCGACAGCCAGCTCCTCTGGCTTCCGTCTAAGCTCCTTCTCGTAGTCCCCGGCCACGTAGCACACCTGTTCTTTGATGTCGGCCACGATCTCCCACTCGGCCGAGCTCACAAACGCGTGTCCCCTCTCGGCGAGAATTCGGCCCAGGTTATCGGTGACGTCTCGCCCGGCTACATCCGAGCGGAGCACAGCGCGCGGGAGCCCGTAACCCTCAAACACAGGCACGGCGTGCGTCACCCCGTCGCCCACGCCGACCGCCAGCCCCGTCACCATGCCGCTGGCGTAGAGCGACAGCACGGCCTGCACGGCGACGTGGACGGCCGGTGCCCCGAACCGCTCGAACAGCAGCTGGACCGCTTGCTCGCGGTTCTCCAGGGGGTTTAGAGGAGCCTCCGTCAGGAGCACAGGCTGGTCCTGCGGTCTCGCGTGCAGCTCGGCCTCGTAGGCGTGGGCCCACACGCGCTCCATGTCGTCCCAGCGCGTCACGATGCCGCGCTCCACTGGGTAGCGGAGGGACAGCACGCCGCGCCGGCACAGCGCCTGTCGCCCTATGTAGAAGCCACCATCGCCGCTACCGCCGGAGTCGTCAAGCCCACGGCTGACGAGCATCGTGTCCCTCTGACGGGGCCGGCCCACGAGCGAGGGCACACAAAAGCGTGGGGCGTTCTCCCCAGCAAAGCCGGCCTTGCATAGACCGGAGCCATTGTCCATGACCACCGCCGGGTTTTCCATGTTCCTGGCTGTCAGGTGCAGGGACGATGGGGCCTTTTAAAGACTGAAAGTGAAAAGTGAACAAAAATGAGAAAGGGATATGTTAAGATGTGGAGTAAGTCATATCTCTAACCCGAACCAACCACTAATCCTAACCACACAAGCTAACCACCCGACAGCCCTACTAACCAAAACTACATTAACCAAACCACAACAATACTAACCATAAGGATATTCACCAGATCACAGCCTTGTGTCCAACTCTCCCACATTAACCAGAGACCATAGCTCTACCCCTAATTAAAATCCCACTAACCAGACCACAGTCCTATGTCTAGCCTTAACCCACGTTAGACTACTTGACTATATCCTTACAACTGTCCCCATCCTTGATTCTAGGCATGATGTTAGCCTGGCCTCTGCTGCTTTTTTATTTGTTCCTTTTTCATGTTTTGTTCAGTGCTCAGTTTTGGTTTTTCACAGTGCGGGGAATATTGTTAGCTGCTCCTACAGAGATACGCTGCCACATCCAGTCTCAGGTATACCTATATATCTCCGACTAGTCTGCTTTCCACTGGCTTTATCATTACACTCTTTCAAAAAGTACCTGGATTATTTAGGTATGATGTCATTGTAATTAAGCCCACTTACAATTATATTGATAAAACTCTTTGTCTGGGAATAAAACTGTAATCATAAAAAAATGCCACTAACATTTGGTAGACTCAATTGAACATTGTTTTTCAGAATGTATATAATCTGATGCCATTTTGCTGCAACACCTTTGAAACAAGCGAATTACA